TAATTTGGCAAATGTAAAAAGGGAAGTGTGGAGGAGGAAGATTAAAAAAGGCAAAACATGGCAGGACTTTAGCAATGAACACATCTATTTCCGTGTGAGCTTCCACGGTTCATCCGATCATCATCGTCAGGCACATGGAGTGCAAACGGATGTGGATGATGATGTCACTCAAATTGTGTGGCGTAAAATTTCTCAAAAGGATTCCAGTCTATACTCCCATCCCACCCTCTTCTCTTTCATTTTGCTAACACGTTGTGATAGACTAACACAGCGACTTCTTACGACAGGGCCCTAGAAAGATTCCCAAGCGGTTTCTAGACTGTTTTGAGCTGCACCAAATTGGGTGGAAATCTGTATATTTATGTAACATTAAACGCACAAATGCAAGAAAACAGGAAGACCCCCCCCCAAAAAAGGTTGTGTTGCTTATCCATAGCTGTGAAAAGTTCTCTTGAGCACTTAAGAGATCACAGCCTGAATGATCGGAATCTTTTAGATATAGGGTTTTCTTCTCCTCAAACTGTTTGTGTGTTTTAAAGTGCAATAGTATTCAAATTATTTTTACCTTCTTCTGAAATGATCTTCTTAAGGTGCTATAAAACAGATGAGATATATTACAATAAGTAAAGGATATGTTGTTTTGGATTTTGCCCTGGGGTCCATAAATACAACATCTGTCCAATCTGCTTTGATTTGGATTCTTGCCTTGAGCAGGGGGGTTGGGCTGGATGGCCTTCGAGACCCCTCCCGACTCCCCGATTGCATAAGGGCACATTTAGCCCTATATCGCCTGCGAACCTGAAAGTTCACCTTCAAATCAATGGGATTCTCACAGGTGCAGAAAATAGCCCCCAGTTCCTTAAACTGTCAGGGTTATTGTTTGTTTTGCTTTATAAAATCCTGCAGCATTTGGTTGGTGCAAATGGACAAACGGGCTTTTGCTTTTCATGCAAACTCTTAAAGGGATATTAAAAAGCCTCTGCCCAGGGCTGATATATAATCTGCCCCCGCCTCACCACTTTCCTTCCTGTGCCTTGGTAGGGTGAGGATGCCCCCTGCTGGTGGCTCTGTGTAACGAACCATCCGCAGGTGGTTCTTAAAAAGGCCCTGCTCCCCATTTGCTCTCATTAACTCGCATCATGTTCAGAACAGAGTATTAAATATTCCCAGGGCTTTCAAACCCATAGCGCCCCCCCCCCCCCGGAAAAGTCCAGCTGTCTGCATGGTTCAAAAAGACACTGGGAACTCAAGACACCTTAGTTTGAAGGGCTGTCCTGGGGGAGCACACATCAGCACCAACCCCTTGCGCCTCCCCGGTTTGTGTAAACCTGGACTCCTCAGACTCCACTTGCCAAAAAATCAAGGGAGGGGAGAAATCAATGATTTTTTTTTAAAAAAATCAAATTAATTTAAAGGACAATTTCAATTTTTTAAAAAAATCTGTATTTTTTTTAGATTGAAATGGTAGAAAAATCTGATTTTAAATTTAAATCAATTTCATTGAAATCAAATTCACCTTGCCCCAAATGGCTTCTTCTGCCCAGCAAAAAAATGTTGTAAGGCACTCTTTATTTTAAATATGCTGCAGGCTCCCAACCGGTTGAGGCTACTTACCCATCCCTGACTCAGAACACAAGAAATTCCTTCAGATTATCAGAAGTCAGAGCTTCCGAGTTACTTTTCAATCTGCAGCTTTCGCCCTCCCCTCGCCAGCATGGCCGTGCTGGGTGGGGGAGGCTGGGTGTTGTAGTCCAAAAGGAACTCAAGAACCTCATTTGGATGAATAGGCCAAGAGAGTACAGAAACGACAGGGACCAAGTCACGTCGAACAACAAAACCTCGCATTCTTGCAAGCTCAATGGCAGTAACAGTGAGTGGGAAGCAACAGATCTGCGCAGATTCTCATTCATCCAAGTGAGGTTATCTGGAAATTGAGTCATGGCCACCAGACGTCTTTCCTATTAGACTGAAACGTTTCACCACTCCTCCAAGTCGCTCCTTCAGTCTGAGGAGAGTTGGTAGGAGAGCCCTGGTAGATCCTCTACGTTGGTTTCACTTCCCTCTGGTCTGAATGGGCTCCTTAGAAGGACAAAGGGCAGGGGGTGAGGGATAATCCCACTTCTGCAGTCCTTCTCCACCCATTGTCATGAGTTGCTAACAGTCCTTAGCATTCTGGTGGATGTGGTCCCAACCTTTCTGGGAGCGGATGATCTTTCTGGGTCCATCTAATGAGACTATCCAGACCAGGGGGAAGTGAAATTGACACGGAGGATCTATAAGGGGTCTCCTACCAACTCTCCTCAGACAGAAGAAGCTACTTGGATGAGTCGTGCAACGTTTCAATCTAATAAGGAAGAAGTCCAGTTGGTATGACTCAACTTCTAGTTAGTGAGTGGGAAGCTGCTGGACATTTTGAATTTCTAGCAATAATGCTGAGGCAGCATTATGGGGTTCTGTGGGAACTTAAGATAGCAATACCAGGGGGAAGTTAAATCGACACGGAGTATCTATCAGGGGTCTCCTACCAACTCTCCTCAGACAGAAGAAGCTACTTGGATGAGTCATGCAACATTTCAATCTAATAAGGAAGAAGTCCAGTTGCTATGACTCAACTTCCAGATAGTGAGTGGGAAGCTGCTAGACATTTTGAATTTCCCACAATAATGCTGAGGCAGCATTAATCTGCCTAGAGTGGCCTTTTAGGCCAGATGGGCGGGGTATAAATCAAATAAA